TGACTAAAGACAGCATCATGCCCCTTTAATTCTAAATATTTTGTACACTTTAAAGATTTTATTTATTTATTTTCAGAGAGAGAGGAAGGGAGGGAGAAAGAGAGGGCGAGAAACATCAATGTGTGGTTGCCTCTGAGTGCCCTCAACTGGGGACCTGGCCCAATACCCAGGTATGTGCCCCGACTGGGAATCGAACTGGTGACCGTTTGATTCACAGGCTAGCACTCAACCCACTGAGCCGCACAAACCAGGGAAGGCACATATACTTTAAAAACAAGGATATTTTCTTCCATAATCACAGAAAAACTATGAAACTGAGAAAATTTAACATTTAAATAATACTATTATCTGGAATACAGTCCATATTCAAATTTCACTAACTATCCTAATAATGTCTTTCATAACAACCTTCTCCCCTGATGCAAGACCCAATCTAGGATCACACATTTCATTTACATGTCAAGTTTCTTTAGTTTCCCAATCTGAAATAGTTTGGGTCTTTTTAAAAAAGATTTTATTTATTTATTTTTAGAGAGGAGAAGGGAAGGAGAAAGAAAGGGAGAGAAACATCAACGTGTGATTGGCTCTCGTGCAACCCCTACTAGAGAACCTGGCCTGCAACCCAGGCATGTGCCCTGACCGGAAATCGAACCAGTGACCCTTTGGTTCACAGGCCAGTACTCAATCCACTGAGCCACACCAGCCAGGATGCTTTTTTACTTTCATGACCTTAATATTTTTTAAGAATTGTCTTACAAAATCCTTCAAGTTGGTTTGTTTAAAGCTTCCTCATAGATTCAAGTTATACATTTGAGGTATAAAGAGACGAAAGGTGCTGCTGTGCCCTTCTAGGTGCCTCATATCAGGAGGTGATCACCTGATCAAGATAGTATTCCTCCAGGTTTCTCCACTATCAGTTACCATATTTCTTTTTGTAATTATAATCTGTGGGGAGATACTTTGAAGCTATTTAAATACCCTGTTTCTTTCTAAACTGTCCATTGCTGATTCTTCCACAAATTAATTATTACTGTAACAATTACAAAATGATTTTTCTAACTATATTATTTAATTACTTGGCATTCTACTGTAATGAAAAACATTTCCTTTATCTTCCTTATGTATTTCACTGCTTATTTTACTTGGTGATTATCATCCATTATTGTCATTATTCATTCTGAACTCACATTGTCCTATCTCTGGCTTGAGCTGACTCCTATGTTTTTTTAACATTTAATTCCACAAAAGGTATTACACCAATCTTACAGGCTTACCCTTTTACAAAGGCAAGTCAAAATTCACAGCAGAGCCGGACAGCCTTTCAGCTGGGGAATTAACTAAAAGCTCAGTTATAAAATCTACACTTGGCCTGGCTGGTGTGGCTCAGTGAATTGTGTGCTGGCCTGTGAACCAAAGGGTTGCTGGTTCAATTCCCAGTCAGGATAAATAAAAAAAAGAAAGAAAGAGAAAGAAAGAAAAAATTCTACAACTATTCCCTACAACTAATACTTATAATACCCCGTAAGTATACTAGCACCTGGTTTAAAAAACAGAAAGGAAGGGGAAGCTCTACAGTAATATAAAATAGCCATGTACTTGTAACACTTCCTTTCATAACCGTGGACCTCTCTATTTAAATTTACTGAATTCCTAAAATGGTTGAGTTAAAATGACCCTATTTATTATTCATTATTATTATAATATCAAATATATATTCATTTAATTCTATGACTACCCTATGAGGTAAATACTGTTATCTCATTTTACCAATGAGAAAACCAAATGTGAAAGATAAGTCAATGAATCACATTTCCAAAGGCCCAGATTATTAAATTTATTATCCATCACCAAATATGTGGATTATACCCAAACTCAAGAAGTATCCACCATCTGACTGGGGGCAGGTAATGAAAAGGAAAAAGCAAAATGAGGGAGAATGGGTGAAACCAGTATTAAATTGGAATACAGAGGTTTCATTCCTGGAAAAATAGTAAAATCACTGCCATAAAGGGCATCAGCTACAGACCTACTCACCAATAACGAGAGGGGAATTCAGGCCATGAGAAGTTGGATAAAGTCTCCTAATTTATTTAAAAGGTTAAGAGAGTGAGTTTCTAAAAAAGAAAATGCTAGTAAGTAAACTCAGGTCACAGGCACAACAAACACCTGCAAATCACTGACAGAAGGGCTGTCTGATAATGTTATATGTCAATTATATAAAAACATTTTTTTTTAAATGCTGTCTAACTAAAAGTCCAATTGCAGGTTGGGCCCCAGAGGCTAAATGGAGTGGTTAGGAGGGCACTGGACCAGAATCAGGAGATATGGGTGCCAAGTCTCTAATCTGTAAAACTAAGAGGCTGTACAACTTGTACTTCCCAAGGGACTCCCAGCTGCAAAATTCCTTAAGTAACAAAACAAGAATGCAGTTGCTATAGGTGAGTTATCTGGAGTGTCATCACTGAGATCATTCTATTTTCGGAGCTTCAAAACATGCAGTTTCCATAGCATTCTAAAATTTGAGAGCTGCATAGTAGCATAAACATTATTTTAACCATAAAAATATGCAGGATGACATAAACAGGTAATATATGTATGTACAAATAGAAGTTGTCATAGTACAATATGAAACTGTAAACAGTATTCGCAAATAATACGTTCAAGAAATTCATGTCTCAACTTGCTAGAGCAGACAAGACCCTGTTTTTTTTTGTTTTGTTTTATTTTAATCCTCATCCAAGGATGCTTATCGATTTTCGAGAGAGACGTTGATGTGAGAGAGGAACATCAATTGGTTGCCTCCCAATCGGGCATCAAATCTGCAACCTAGTTATGTGCCCTGACCAGGGATCAAACCCATAATCCACTGGTGCACAGGATGATACTCCAGTGAATGGATACACTGGGCCAGGGCTGAACCCTGGTTTTAAATCATAACTGGGTAAGGGGCCACCAACCTCAAAACAGTCAACTCTAGTGACATGACAGGCTCTAGCAATTTATCCTTCCTAGCAAATGTATTCCTTTTATTCAAATCCTGGGCTACCACAGAGCCAGGTACAGTCAGACTTGGAACATACTGACCAATTTCTCCCCTTTAGACTGGTATTACTTTACAACATATTTTTGTAGTTCAAAGGGACTTTGGAAATAATAGAAATTTACTGATTAAAAGCCTTCTGAAAACAGCCTTCCCCATTTTCTTGGTTAGCACTAGTCCCCTCAAAAGATGACAGGTACTGGAAATGGCCTGGATTACTACATCTTTTTGAGTTTTAGGCTCTTTAAGTTTATGTTACTCCTCAGGCTCTTCTCAGTGCTCAGTATTACGTAGGCCTCTTTTTCCTAAATACCTAATGGATCTTTGAATGAATCAATTTAAAGCAGTAATTTATTAACCTCTGGCTTCAACGATCTGTGAATTTTCCATGATAAACCATCCAATAATCCAGTTGCTTCCCACAAATATTTTTTAAAAACTCAAATTTAACAAATCAGGATATTTCATTTTGAAATTGGCCTTTTGCTAAAATAAGCAGTTTTAAACACCTATAAATCCAAAAGAAAAAGAAAAAAAAGTATTCCCTATCCAGCAATTCCACTTCTGGGAATACACCCAAAAGAACTGAAACCAGAGTCTTAAGAGATACTTGCACCCATGTTCACAGCAACATTACCCATAACAGCCAAAAGGTGGAAGCAACCCAAGTGTCCATCAGCAGATGAACTGGATTTAAAAAATGTGGTATATACATACAATGGAATATTATTCAGCCTTAAAAAGGAAATTCTGACACAAACACTGTAACATGGATGAACCCTGTGGACAAGATGGTAAGTGAAAGAAACCAGTCACAAAAGGACAAAAACAATATGATTCCACTTATGTTAGATATCTTAAGACAGTCAAATTCATAGAGACAAAAGGTAAAATGGTGATTGTCAGGGGTTGGGGGAAGAGGGGAATGGGAAGTTGTTGTTTAATGGGTATAGAGTTTTACTTTTCCAAAAAGGAAAGAGTTCTGGAGATCAGCTGCATAACAATATGAATGTACTTAACACCACTGAACTTTATGCTTTAAAAATGGTTAAGGTAGTCAATTTTGTTATGTGTATTTTTCCTCAATTAAAAAAAAAATCTTCTCTAGCTCTGGCTGGTGTGGCTCAGTGGATTGAGTGCTGCCCTGCAAACCAAAGGGTTGCCAGTTCGATTCCCAGTCAGGGCACATGCCTGGGTTGTGGGCCAGGTCCCCAGTAGGGGGCACTTAAGAGGTAACCATACACTGAGGTTACCCTCTCTTTCTCTCTCCCCTCTCTAAAAAAAAAGTAAATAAAATCTTAAAAAATATATTTTCTATGTCTCAAAGCTAAATTCTAGGGTTGAAACCTTTTAGTTTTGAACTACCAGGTTATCCATCATTTCAACAACACTTGGTAGGGTGAGAAGTCAAGTGAGGCAAATAGCTCTTTCTGAGTACCTTATGCTGCTTAATAACGTGTGTTGCTTGAAATAATTAGCTTTTAACTTAACTTTCCTCTGTAACTGGTTAGTGATTTCAGTTTCCCTTCATTAAGTTCTTGACAGTTCAATATCCTCACATCTGTCATTGTTTGGGAGACTGATTCCAAGAACACAAATTGCTTTGAGGACTAGGAATCAAATTTATTCTGGTTTATGGGACACATTTGAATCCATCTGTTTTCTAATCAAAAGCCATATTTGAATCAGTTTTGCTCCATCACAGTACCAAAATAAAAGTAATACAATCATGGTATTTTCCTTCTTTCTGCCTATGTAGTACAGATGATTACAGGAAACTCAATTAAAGGCATGAGTACTCCTCGGAAACAGGGTCTTTGCAGACTACAGGACCTGTTACCTTTTCAATCTTTATCTGTTTGTTTTTTAGATCACTGTGATTATGCTGACTGTAAGTGGCACATTTTTATTTTGGAATTACACGGGGGAAAAGATTCCCAGATTGTAATAATCAACTTACCTCAATCTTTTTTTCAGTTGTAAACTGTCGTGGATGATTCTCTTAACAAACTCTAACTCGCCTCCTTCTGCCATGATCTCTGTGATGCCCCCTGTATTCACGGAACTAGGTGGCGGCCTTCGAGGGTTTCGAGAGTTCACTCCCTGAACAGCAACAACAAAAGCCTGGTGAAAACTTTACACCTTTAGATCAAGTCTTTGACTGTAGTCTAGTTCTGCGTAAGAGTGCTGAGACATAATTTTACTTTCCAAATATGCTATACTTAGGACTTAAAAATCACATAATTATTCCAATATTAAACTTTAAAATCTGCACTCATACAAACGTTCCTTCCTAGGAGCTTTTACCTTCCATCTTTGTGGATAAACATACAGAAGTTTTACCTTTTTATGTACCCAATTCTGTCATTTTTTTTTTTATGTTTTCTGTCTTGGTAACATGTACAGTAAGTGTTCCACCCAAAGACTATATAAATATTTACTTATGTTTTCCATTAGCACTTTCATGGTTTTATCTTTAAAATTCATTCCTACCTCATACCACATTTTAAAAAATAATTCAAATGGATCAAAGATCTAAATATAAAAATTAAACTATAAAACTCTGAGAAAAAAACATAACAGTAAATCTTCACGACCTTAGATCAAGCAACAGTTTCTTAAATATGACACCAAAAGCATAAGCAACAACAACCAGAAAAAATATAAACTGGAGTGCATAAAAATTTAAAACTTTTGAGTTGCAAAGGACACGATCAAGAAAGTAAGAAGACAATCCACAGAATGGAAGAATATGTTTGCAAATCGTATATCTAATGAGAGATTTGTATCTATAATATAAAAGGAATTCTTACAACAATAAAAAGAAAAATAACCCAATTTTTAAAGGGGCAAAGGATCTGAATAGGCACTTCTCCAAAGAAGATATACAAATGGCCAATATGCACATGTAAAGATTTTCAATGCCATCAGAGAAAAGCACATCACAACTAAAATGAGATACCACTTCATTCCAACTAGGATGGCCATAATTAACAAGGATGTGGAGAAACTAAAACTCTAACACACTGCTGGTGGTGGGATGAAAAATGGTACACTCTTTGGAAAAGTCTAGCAGTTTCTCAAATTAATTAAATATAGAGCTATCTTATGACCCAGTAATTCTACTCTTTGGTATATACAAGGGGGCACCCCCAAATCCCCAGATTTTAATTATAAAAATTGTGTATTTATTTTTACATGTTCACCTTCATAGCACTCTCCATTTGATGCTATACATCTATCAAGACTTTTTTCCCACTGCTTAAAAACATTTAAAAAATTATATTTTATTGATTATGCTATTAGTTATCCTGATTTTCCCCCTTTGCCCTCCTCCACCTAGCAGCCCCCACTTCCTCAGACAATCCCCCCACCATTGTTCATGTCCATGGTCATGCATAGAAGTTCTCTGGTTACTCTATTTCCTATACTGTACTTTACATCCCCATGGCTATTCTATAACTACCCATTTGTACTTCTTTTTTTTTTTTAAGATTTTATTTATTTATTTTTAGAAAGGGAAGGGAGGGAGATAGATAGAGAGAGAGAGAGAGAGATAGACAGAGATAGAGATAGAGATAGAGAGAGAGAGAGAGAGAGAGAGAGAAACATCAATGTGCGGTTGCTGGGGGTTATGGCCTGCAACCCAGGCATGTACCCTGGCTGGGAATCAAACCTGGGATACTTTGGTTCCCAGCCCGCGCTCAATCCACTGAGCTACGCCAGCCAGGGCCCATTTGTACTTCTTAATCCCCTCACCTCCTCACTGGTTATCCCCCGCCCCCCTCCTATATGGCAACCTTCCAGTAACTAACTTCTTTTCTCTTGCTTTTAAGAGTCTCTTTTTATCTTTAACCTTTGGCTTTTTAATAATGATGTGTCTTGGGAGTGGGCCTCTTTGCGTCCATAATTGGGAGTCTCTGCACTTTCTGGACTTGCATGTCTATTTCTTTCACCAAATTAGGGAAGTTCCAAACAGTTTTTGAACTTACTGATTTTGATGCCTTTTAGTGCTTCTGCTGTTTTTTGTTTCACCTCTTCCACATCAGCAAAAATGTTTCCCTTTGAGGACTTTTTTCATTTGGGGAAACCAAAAAAGTCTCTTGGGGCAAGATCCGGGAAATAGGGAGGGTGGAGCATGAGGGTCATGCTGTTTTTGGTCAAAAACAGATGAACATTCAGCACCATGTGGGCAGTTACACTCATAGATCACCCATCATGAAATGAGTAAATGTGTTGAAACGGCCTTCAAAAAATATTCACTGAAGCTGAACACAGCCTCTCACAGCAATGCCAGCTGGACCACTGATAGAGATGGGTTCCTAGAACACTCACCTAGTGGGGGAATCATGTACTACAAGAGGCCCACCCTCCAGAGGATAATTCCGGAGTTATTTTGGGTGCCCCCTTATATATCCAAAAGAAATGAAAACACTTAGCATAATGCTCTCCAGTTCCATCCATAAGCCAGGTGATGAGGGACAAGTACTATATGATCTCACCATTAACTGGAACATATCAACAAAAGAAAAAAGCAAACAAAATATAACCAGAGACATTGAAATTAAGAACAATCAACAATATCCAGAGCGGAGTGGGGAGGGGACAGAGGGGAGAAGGGTTTTCAGCAACTACTATAAAGGACACATGAAGAAAACCAAGGGGGAAGGTAGAAGCAAGGGAGGGAGGTGGGTTTGGCTGGGGTTGGGGGGAGTGGTGGGGAGAAAACGCAGACAACTATAACTGAACAATAAAGTAATTAAAAAAAAAAGAAAATATGCCCATACAAACACTTGTACATGAATACTCACAGCACCATTTTCGTAACAGCCAAAAATGAAAATATCCCAAATGTCCATCAACTAAATGCATGGCTAAGTGAAATGTATTATTTCTATACAATAAAAAATTATTTGGCAATAAAAAAATGAAGTACCAATAGATGTTACAATATGAATGAACCTTGGATATATATTATGCTTGGTGAAAAAAGTCAGTCAGAAAAGACCACATACTATATGATTCCATTTATATGAAATGTCCAAAACAGGCAAATCCACAGAAATAGTAAGTAAACTGAGACTAACTGATTCTGGAATTTTTTTTTTGAGGCAGGGTAATGGGGAGAGAAGAGGGGATGATAAAAATGTTCTAAAATTGATTGTGGTGATGGCTGTACAACTCTGTGAATATGCTAAAAATAATTAAATTCTACCTTTTAAGTGAGGGTATGATAAAAAGTTATTTAGTTCTGATGCTAGTAATACAGAGTGGGACAAAAATAGGTTTACAGCTATTCGTATGGAAAATAATGTAATAATAAATCAACCAAGAATAAGTTCTGTAAAAAAAAAAAAAGAATAAATTCTGTATTTTGGGTACTCACAACTGTAAACCTACTTTTGCCCCACACTATTATTGTATTTCTTATTTGGATACTGATTCTGCAGGAGTGTTCACTTTAGAAAATCCAGTTTACATTTATGGCATGCACTTTTATGCATATATGTTGTATCTCAACATTGAAAAAAATGTACTCCAGGATATGGCTATTTTAGTTCTTATAATTTATCTGCATCAAAGACAGAAAGACTTCTTAAATTCTGTTTCACCTTATGTTCCAATCTAGAATGTTCTACTGTTCATAAATTTATGTCCTCCCCCCCCACAAAAGAATTTAATCCATCTGTAGTTTATTTTGTTATGAGTTATATAAATGGTACTTTTGGGGTACCTTACTGATTCTAAAAACAATTTATTATCTCAAAGCTTTAAGTATACACACTCTCTTATTTCCTTCTGATTAATATTCCCTTTCTATTAACAGAGAATTAACCAGATGAAGGAAAACAGCTTAAAATCAGTATTTTATAGTACTGAGTTTTTAAATAGGTTCTTTGTTTTTAATCCAGTGTCATCTCTTTCCATATTCATATACATTTTTCATCTGAAGTTGAAAAGACTAAATTGGACATTTGTTTACTATCAAATGATAGGTGGCAATAAAACCAGCTAACTTCCCTAAGCCAATAAACCCAATGCAGGAGTACACTATGCCCTCAACTGGTCCAATCAGAAGAACCCAAAAGTTGAATGGTTTAGAGAAGAAAAGAGCTCTGCCCTCACTCTCTCCCCCTCCTCAAATATTACTCTGCCACAAATAAACCAGCCTGAGAACAAAACCAACCAAGGGCTAGGTCAGAGCCAAGAGAAATCTGGAAAACCTGAGCCTCAGGTTTAATACTACTATGAACCCCTTGATCAAATTGTTCCTAAAATCAACACTACTGCTGGATTCTCAGATATGTAAATCAATGAATGTCCTTTGTTGTTACGTCAACCTGAATTGTGCTTGTGTTTTCATGTGCTTGATTACAAAGGCACTCACATTTTGATTCCAAAACAAAAGCTGTTCTTTGTTCTTATTTTTGTAAACAAGGTACACTTAGATGAATATTCAATTACTTTAAAGGAGAAGATATTTTACCTTGGCTTCCAACTGATTGGCAAAAAAGGGAGGATTGCACATGCAAAAGTCATAGACTATCTCCGATTCTTCTTTAAGAGCATCCATCAGGAGTGTCTTCTGTGGTACTTTTACCACTAGGAGAAAAGATAGGAACTGTTAACCACTATAAATGCTGCGGTAGTTTTCAAATATGTCCACAAATTCTTTGACACTAGTCCATTCAAAAAGTGGAGCTTGACTTCCTTCTGTTTAAGTATAGGCTGCATTCATGGACTTGCTTTTATTAAATAGAACATGATGGAAGTAAAAGTGTGTCACTGCTGAGGTGAGGCCATAAAAAGTAATATGGCTTCTTGCTTGTCCTATCTCTTGAATTACTTGCTCTAGGAGAAGCCAGCTGACATGCTGTAATGATGGCCAAGCAGCCCTGAGAAGAGATTCACATGGCAATGAACGAATAAGGCTTCCTGCCCGAAGCCATCTAAGTGAGTCATCTTGGAAGCAAATCTTTTTTTTATGATTTTTATTTATTCTTAGAGAGGGGGAAGGGAGAGAGAAAGAGAGGGAGAGAAACAGAAACATCGATCAGTTGCCTCTTGTACGCGATCCAACCAGGGAACGAACCTGCAACCAGGCACATGCACTGATGAGGACCTGAACTGGTGACTCTCACTTTGCAGGATGACACCAAACCAATGGAGCCACACCAGTCAGGGCGGAAGCAAGTCTTTACCTCTAGTCAATCCCTCAGATGATGGCAACCCCTCGAAGAACTCTGAACCAGAACCACCTAGCTACGCCATGCCCGAATTCCCAATTCATTGAAACTATGAGATAATAAATGTTCATTGTTTAAAGCTGCTAGATTTTAGAGTAATTTGTAATACAGGAACAGATAACTTAAAAAACGCATTAACAATATCACTATCTCCCCTTACAATCATATGTTTAACACTAGCAAGAAAAGTCTATTGCTTCCATAAAGAGACTTTATGGAGTCTTTATGGGACTCTCTTTAATGGGGAAATGAAAACAAAAACAAAAAAAACCCCCAAAACCCAGGCCTTTATATATAAAATAAGCACAAAAATAAGAAGTAACTGATTATTAAGGAAATTCAACTATTTGTAGCACAGTTCCACATACTGAAATTAAAAAAAAAAAAGATGGTATATTTTAATCAACAGTTAGGTTTTGTCCCTTTTAAAATCTCGATGACTAGGTTACTTTGTATACTGTTGATCCTCACTATTTGCAGTATATGAACATTTATTTATGTTCTATCAAGTCATCACAACCACTGAATTAGTGAATACTGAACCACTGGCTCTGAGGAGAAATACGAGGTGAGTTAGGTAACTGCGAGCCTCTGCTCCAACATTTTCATCAACCAACTTTTATGCATGTTTCTGTGTAAAGACACTTTATTTAATATACATTGTTGGTTAATTAACACAACCCATGGTCAATGGCACTATAACCCTTGTCTGAAAGGAGCTTATCTAATACATTTTCTCTGTAAGGCGTATCATGGCTTTCTCATACTTAGGAGTACTAGGTAGCACTTAAGCACTATATTTAGGGGCCATTTTAAACAGCAAAATCACCAAGAAAAAGCACAGAAGTGAAAAAAAAAGTAGCAATAAACAGCCCATGAAAAGGATCTTTGATTACAGTGTAAGAGCTGAAACAAGAAGGCAGAGCATCGCCTTATTCAACTGTAGCTGGGAACATGCATGTTGGGTGACTCAAGTTCTTGGCCACTCTGCACATGTCTATGGATAACCACCAAAGCCCTAGGGTATTTACTTTGGGGTTAAAAATAACCCCAAGTAGGCAAATCCACAAATATAGAATCTACAAATTAGGAGGATCGGCTGTATTTACTATATTTCTTTCTGAATTAACTGATAACAAAACAGCAAATCCAATTACAATGTACCAGATTTTTTCAATTATCAAAGTTTGTATATTAAAGCAAAAGATAATAAGATGTGTTAAATTAGAAAAACAGGTTAATAAAAAAAGCTTAAAAGGGACGTTTGCTCTGTAGTACTAACCTTTTATAAGATCAGATAAGTTATTCTGTTCCACGTTTTTCTTTGCATAGTTGAAGCACATATCATCGACTTCTGTTGCAAGGAAATACCAGCCATTTAAGGTACTTCCAAGTAAAGGGTAGATGCAGGATGCCCCAGTACCTAATAAAATGAAAATTCAAATCACATTGCACATACATGAGAATAACAAGCAAAAACACCATTCTTATCTTCTTAGAATTCTTTTTTTTAAAGATCTTATTTATTTATTTTTGGAGAGACGGGAAGGGAGGGAGAACGAGAGAGGGAAACATCAATGTGTGGTTACCTCTTACGTGGTCCCCACTGGGGACCTGGCTCGCAACCCAGGCATGTGCCCTGATTAGGAATCGAACTGGCAACCCTTTGGTTTGCAGGGTGGCACTCAATTCACTGAGCTACACCAGCCCGGGCTATTTTCTTAGACTTCTTATAGCCTTGACAGTTTAATTCACAAGCTGGTACCTAATTATGTACACACTGTGGCTACTGAGTTCCCTTGTTGTTTCATGTGTGTTAGTCTTGCCTCATAATTTTAGATTCAAATTTCTTAGAGGATACAAATCTTGCTGATCTCTTTTTCTTATATGTTGTATGTAAAATGAAGTGTGCATAATTGGCTGGTGATCAAGGAATACATAACTGATTAACCAAAAATTGTTAAAACAATTTAATATGGCCTTAGCTGGTGTGACTCAGTGGACTGAGTGCCGGCCTGTGAACCAAAGGGTTACTGGTTCAATTCCTAGTCAGGGCACATGCCTGGGTTGTGGGCCAGGTCCACAGTAGGGGGCACGTGAGAGGCAACCACACATGGATGTTTCCCTTTCTTTCTCCCTCCTTTCCCTTCTCTAAAAATAAATAAATAAAATCTTTTAAAATGTTTAATTTGACTTATAAAATGTTTTAATTTTAAATTTCATATAAAACTTGATTTTCTTAAAAGAAATCAATGCTAATTGTTAAAACACCACAGTACTAAATTAGACACCCCATTCCCCGAAAATAGAAAAAATATGTAAGGTATAAAATCTTTATGATAACAAACCACTCAATTCCTCACGTATCTATGAGGTGTTGCATGAAGGAAACCAGAATTTATTAAAAAAAAAAAAAAAGATCTAAAACTAGCCCTGGCTGGCGTAGCTCAGTGGATTGAGCGCAGGCTGAGAACCAAAGTGTCGCAAGTTCGAATCCCAGTCAGGGCACATGCCTGGGTTGCAGGCCACAGCCCCCAGCAATGGCGCATTGATGTTTTTCCCTCTCCCTCTCCCTCTCCCTCTCCCTCTCCCTCTCCCCCTCCCCTCCCTCTCTAAAAAAAAAAAAAATAAAATATAAAAAAAAGTTACTTAAAAAAAAAAAAGCTAAAACTAAAGAGAAAATTCATCTTAGATGTGGAGACATGGAAACACATTTCATCCAGCTCCAAAACATCAGTCACTGGTTTGCCCCACCAAAATTGCAAGAAAGACATTCAGAGGCAAGTGCTCCAGGCAAAGATCACTCTTTGACAACTAGGATTTGGTCCTAAATTTGTATGCAGAACCCCTCACCATGGACGGGACGGACTATATACTAACTTCAAATATTGTTTTTATAACCACTGACTAATCTTGGCCAGGAAGACTTTATTATTTTTTTAAAGATTTTATTTACTAATTTTTAGAGAGGGGAAGGGAGAAAGAAAAAGAGGGAGAGAAACATCAATGTGCGGTTACCTCTTACGTGCCCCCTACTGGGGACCTGGCCAGCAACCCAGGCATGTACCCTGACTGGGAATCAAACCGGTGACCCTTTTGTTTGCAGACCTGCACTCAATCCACTGAGCCACACCAGCCAGGGTGGCCAATACAACTTTAAAGAGAAGAAAATCCAGTGTTTCTCCCAAGGGCCTAAGTAGTTAGCCCATACCAGCCACTTCAGGCCTGCTTTCCCCTGGTCACATCTTGGTGCAAAAGAGTAGAAGCCAGAGATACTCCTAACCCAGAGGAAATCCAGTCTCCTTTTACTGCTTCCTCATTCCTCATTAAGTATTCTGAACAGTTTAGTAAAACACAGGACAATTGATGGCCAGAACTTTTAAGCTCTCTGACAGTCACAGTGATTGCTAAACTTTCTATCATGTTTACATCCAGGCCCTGATGGTACTGAACACACACCTCCTTGAGGATGTGTGACATGGTGAGGGAAAGGATGGTAAAGGGTACTCAAGCTCCTCTCAGAGGCCAGTTATTTAGCTACCTGTTAGCTATCCTGGTAGGCCACAGTTGCTTAGAGTAAGGAATTTCAAGTAGCACTTTCATCTTTGCAAGGAAAAAAATACCAGACCAGATGCCAGGCCCCTGACTCTCACATGATTGCCTCTCTCTTTATATTTCAATTTTATTTAGAGCAAAACAAACAAACACATAAAAAAGTTTTCTTCAGTTGCCTAATGATACACACAGGTAAGAGGCCTATCTCCTGTCCCCCCCAATCAAATTTCTCAATTCTTTTTAAAAAATTTTATTTTAATCATTCTTCAAGTACAGTTTTCTGTCTTTTACTCCCATTCCAGCCCACCCAAGTTTCTTAATTCTTAAGACCACAAGACTTTCATTCTAACATCTTAATCCCCTCAGAAAGCTGAACGACATTTTTACAAGGAAAAAAAAAAAAAGAACTTGTAATGATAAATAAAAATGGAAAGTGTATAATCATAGAATTAGAGCAAACTGATGGGAGTCTGGGGGAAGAATTCATATAAAACCCTAATTAGAATGAATGTGATTTTAGCACCAGTGCCCCTTACGAAGAGCTAAAATCCATTAACCTCCTATATCCCCAAGTGCTATTCTAGAAGGGTTAGGGCATAATTAAAATAAATTAGTACCAAATAGGCTCTCAAGCTTTTTAAGCTTTCTATAACCCATCAAGCCAATCTTCTGCCATGAACATAAGAAAGCAAAAGCTTTTGTTAAACCTCATTATTTTTATATAGTGCTTAGTTTATATGGAGTGTTCATATTTTTTAATGTTGAAAGAATCACGTATTTATCAATATTAAGCGAATCATTTATTGGATACCTACTATATGCCAGAACCTTTGTTAGGCCTTGTTAGTAAGCACAAAAGTAACAGGCTCTGCACTTTGCAACCTAGTGGTAGAGAAAGACATTAATCAATCAGACAAGTGAATGGGTAGTTAAAAACTAAAAAATAATGCCAAGGAAGAAACATGGTTTTCCAAAGCTCATAATCAAGGAACTTATGCTGAAAGGTCAGAAAAGGCTTTCCTGATGAAATAAGGCTTGAGTTAATAACTACTATAAATGAGACTATTTCATACGGTAAGGGTGGGAAGATCCACATAGAGGGAACAATGTGTACAAAGGCCTGGAGGTATGTTGCCTTCACAGAAGAACTAAAGAGTGCAGGAAAAAAGAAGAGAAGCACATAAGATGCTTTAGGGAGGTATAGAAAAAAGGGCAGAAATCAGACAATGAAAATTTTCATAGGCCAAATCAAAGTTTTGGGTATTTATCACAGAAACAATAGGAAGCCCTTAAAGTGGTAAAGATGTGATCAGATATGCGTTTTACTTTCTGGAGAAGGGAATAGAGAGGCACCAGAGTGGATGACAAGAGAGTAGCTGAGGAGCTTATTCTGTAGACCAGGAGAGATAATGGTGACTTGAACTGGGATGGTGGCAGTGGAGATGGAGAAAAGTAGATGATTTGAGAGAAAATCAACAGGAAATAGGGACAGACATTCTCAGTGAGGATAGGGAGAAGTAAATATCAAGAATAACAGGGTGGGATGTGGTGGATTCACTGAAATAAAAAAACAAAGGAAGAGCCCTGGCTGGTGTGGCTCAGTGGATTGAGTGCGGGCTGTGAAACAAAGGGTTGCCGGTTCAATTCACAATCAGGGCACATGGGTGGGTTGTGGACCAGGTCCCCAGTAGGGGTTGTGTGAGAGGCAGCCACACACAGATGTTTCTCTCCCTCTCTTTCTCCTTCCCTTCCTCTTTAATGTTGTTGTTGTTTTAAACAAAAACAAACAAAAAGAGGATCAAGATTCAAAAGAAAGAATATGAATCTGGTCTTGGACATGGCAAAGTCTAAAATGTTTTTGAGATATTCAAGTTTCTCATGTATATGCGACTAGAAAAGTAATCTGAATTGGAGAAATACATAAATTTTAGGTTATTTGCATGGAGGTGGAAAACAAAGTCCTACATGTGGATGAAATTGCCTAGTGGTAAGGTACTAAATAAGAAAAGGGCCAAAGACTGAGCTTTAAAGATCTGAACACCTAATGGCCAGACACAGGAAAGTGAGCCCGAAAATGGGAGAAGAGAGACTGCAAATGAAAAGAGGAAAACCAGGAATCTGGTCATGGATGCCAATGGTGGACAGTGTATAAAAAAGAAAGGAGGGCTCAATAATGAATGCTGCTAAAAAGGCCACACATGACAAGGGCTGAAAATGCACACAAATGTCAAAGTCAAACATCTACTATCTAAAAATTGTGTTTGCTGTTAACTAGACTATATTTAAAAATAGAGGCACAAAGCTTTTAATTTTTCTCATAAAGGACTGGTAAAGGCCACAGAATTAAAAAGAAACTTAAATGCTATCAAATAGAAGCATCAGCTATGACAAACATATAATACATTTATAATTGCAAAACACACCCTGGCTTCGTTTTTTTCTGTATATCCACTTACTCCTCCAAATGAATCAGATTGCACAGTCTTTTCCATTGTAGAAGTTTACAGTTGAGAACATCTTACTTTAACTCAGTGGCTTTTCTTCACTTTTTAATTTCAGATTAAATACCCTCTACAAATAATCATTCAAGAGGTTCCTGAAAGTATTCAGGCCCACATGATCTTTTATCAAATGACCGTCACCACAAAAACACAATATGGAGACTATGTTACTAATGCTAAATAATTCAGAGTACAAATAATACCCAATATACACAGATACTAACATGGTAATCTGAAAAGCTAAGAAACAAGAGTCTCACTTTCATTTTGCCTCTCACCTATTTGCTCCCTATTTGGTGCTGACAACTTCTTCTTAAGAGAAATCAGTGGCAGAAAAGTGCCGGTGTAGGAAGTAAGAGCAGAAATATCTACAGTCAGATTCTTTCATGAATAACCAGAGGAGTTTACAAAGATTTTGACCTTAAAAAATTTATAAAACTTCCATTTAGTAAAAAGAATTTAAAACTACATACCTATGTCAATTCCTCTTCGGAGAGTACTTTTATCAGAGTCCTGATGACCAATCAGATCTTCTACCCAATGAATATAGTTGAGTCTCAAGGGAACTGTAGGAATTAGTCTTTCCAATGGAATATCAATAGAAAGTCCAAAATCCTCCCTCAACAGGGTACAAGTCAGAGCTCTGACTGCTTCAGGGTCTTTAAAATTAAGACTGTGGGGTGGAGAAAAAGATGTAAAACTGATTAATAAGATTTGCTATGCTGTATAAGCTTCATGGCAGCCAGGCAATACCAAATACCCATTTGAATTTCCTAATAGATCACACACAAATAGCTGTGTAGAGTATTCAGCACAGTGGCATCCACACAGTGTACAAACGGTATGTAAATTTCCACCCCAAACACTGCATTTTCATACATGAAAGATAGAGGACAAGAGTGTCTCTATTGCATTCCTGATTGACTCCTTACCTAGCTATGTGACTTAAGACAACTTGAGCATTATTTCCTCAGCTGTAAAATGGGGATAACAGTACCTGTATCATAGTGCTTCGGAGAGACAATCTGTGAAAAGTACTTAGCATAATGCCTAGTACACAGTGACTATTTTAGAAATGCTGGACATTTTTACCATTATCAATTAACATGATCTGACATTAGCATTCTTTGAAAATTAAACTTACAAAGAATGCAGGAAAAATTTTAATAATGAAAACTGGATCTGATACTTAATATAACAAATATTACAGACATCAAATTTAAAATGTGCCCATTTTTAGCAGCTTTACTGAGGTATAATTTACATACTATAAAATTCACCTACAGTATACAATTCAGTAGTTTTTAGTATATTCAGAGTTGTGCAACCATCACCACGATCCAATTTTAGAGCACTTCCATCAACCCAAAAAAGAAACCTTGTGCCTATTTGCAAGTCATTCCTTATTTCTATTCTCAGCTCTAGGCCACCACTAATGTACGTGGTCTCCATAGATCTGCCTTTTGTTGATACTTCATATAAATGAAACCACACAATACATGTTCTTTTTTCTGGATTTGTTCACTTAGCACAGTGATTTTCAACTTTTTTCATCCATACATAAACCAGTTACTAAAATTCTGTGGCACTCCAAAAAATATATTGGGTTGACTAAAAAGTTTGTTGAGTTTTTTCCATAAGATGGCTTTAGTAGCACTTAGTTGTCTTTAACTTCATTTGAAACAATTCTGTTAAATTATATTGTGACAGCTGTCATATCAGCATGCATTAAAAAATGATCAAAATTGGTGAATTTGTGTGCAGCCATTTTAATATTGAAGATGGAAAAAAATACACAACATTTTTGGCATATTATGCTTTGTTATTTCAAGAAAGATAAAAATGCAACTAAAACATAAAAAAAGATTTGTGCAGTATATGGAGAAGGTGCAGTGACTGACTGAATGTGCCAAAACTGGTTTGCAAAGTTTCTTGGTACTATTGACATTTTGGCCAAATAATCTTTGCTGTGGGCTGTTTTATGCACAGGAAGATGTTTAGCAGCACCCCTGGCCTCTACCCACTAGAAGCCAACAGTAGAGATAGCCGACATACTCAAAATATCTAAGTTAACAGTTATTGGTGAAAATTAAAAATATCTTTTATCTTTGGAAAAAGCTGAACAGAGTTTTTGGTCAACTCAGTATTTTATTTTTTGCCAATCTGATCCCCACCCCCCAAAAAGGTGTAACTTTGATTCATTTACACTAGACAGCTACTGTTGTATTGGCTGTTGTCATTTTTTTTCAAATTGACAATCAAAAGAAAAAGAGGTCAGTGCCCCTGACTAAATAGTCAGGTATCGTATGTTTTAAAAATTCTTGTAAGATACCCGTGTGCCAGCAGCGGCAAACCAGTTGAGAATCACTGACTTGACCCAATGTTTATGAGGTTAGTACGTGGTGTAGCATGTATCAGTACTTCATTCCTTTTTATGGGCAAATAATATTTCATTGTATGGATAACCACATTGTGGTTTATTTATCCATTTACCACTTGATGGACGTTTGGATTGTTCCTACTTTTTGGCTATCGTGAACAATGATGCTATAAATATTCACATATAAGTCTTCACATGAATGTGTTTTCATTTCTCTTGGGTAGATACCTAGGAATGGATCATATAATAAATTTAAATTTTAAGAAACTTGTGCCAATTTAATTATTTTGATATCAAAATGCTTCTAAAGTGAAAACCTTAAAAAAGAAAACCGCCCTGGCTGGTGTGGCTCAGTGGATTGAGTGCTGGCCTGCGAACTTCAGGATCACTGGTTCAATTCCCAGTTAGGACACATGCCTGAGTTGTGGGCCAGGCCCCCAGTTGGGATATGTGAGAGGCAACCACACATTGATGTTTCTCTCCCTTTCTCTCTCCCTTCCCCTCTCTAAAACTAAATAAATAAAATCTTAAAAAAAAAAAAAAGAAAACCAACAGATCTTACTTACAAATAAGGCAATGAAAAGAGAACAGAAATAGTCACAGAGATATAAAGTATAGCACAAGATACAGTCAGTAATATTGTACTATGTACAGTTCCAGGTGAGTACTGTAAATTCAGGGGAGGGGGAACATTTTGTAATGTATATGATTGTCTAACCACTATGCTGTATACCTGAAACTAATACAAAATAATATTGAATGTAGACTGTAATTGAAAATTAAAAAAAAATAACATTATAAAAGAACTGACCCATCCTTTTTTCTGTTCCATTTTTAGTCATCAAATAACCAATCATTTTGAAAAAACTCAATGCCCTAATGCTTGAGTTCAAAGACAGGAGAATGTTCTATCCACCTGGTTACCATGGAAACTTCAGATAGGTACCATGGATCCAAGCTCCTCCAATACCTGCAAGAAAAATGTTCTAGCATGGAAGTTCAGAAACCTACTGTACAATCTAATCTTGGTTCTGCAATTGATTAGCCATGAACTTAAAGTCAATTCAGTTCTTAGGCCTCCGTGTCTCCATTTGTAAAATTAAAGGATTGGACACAATAATTTAAGGGTCTTTCCAGGTAAAATTTTGTGGCTCTATAAAGAACACTGAAATAGGACTAAGGTAGTCATTTAAAAATTTATAGAGCAAATTAGAGAGATATGAAACAACAGAAACAGTTAATGAAGACAGATATAATAACCAAATAGTAAACATTTCAATAATCCTCCACTTTGAGCCCATAAAAATTCTTTATTCTTCTGCTACATGATATAAGCACACGGTAACACTATTGAATATATATTAAGAATATACAGTGGTTGTTAGATGACATGCCCTACTCTAGAAAAACACAATTTTAATAATAAAAGAACTTATGAAAAGAGTGATGATAGGCAGGATTAGATTTCAGGAATGTAGATTTGTTTGTTGTATATACAAAAATTACACTCTATAGCTATGAACTTACATGGAAAAAATATGAGAGCTTAAGAACAAAATTTTAATATAATCTACAGTAAACAGAAAGAAAATGGCCATAGTGAAATCTCAAGAGATACAGTAACAACTCGGAAGCAATGACACTCTCTCTTCTTTTTTTAAAGATTTTATTTATTTATTTTTAGAGAGGGAAGGGAAGGAGAAAGAGAGAGAGAGAGAAACATCAATGTGCAGTTGCTGGGGGCCGTGGCCTACAACCCAGGCATGTGCCCTGACTGGGAATCGAACCTGCGACACTTTGGTTCTCAGCCTGCGCTGAATCCACTGAGCTACGCCAGCCAGGGTGCAATGACACTCTTATAGTAATGAGCAAACCTAGGGTTCCAGAATTTTGTTCCCAAACAGCACCACCCACTAAAAGGAATCAGAGTTCTTTAGATAAATGGCTGTTTTAGGTTTGGAGTCATCAAAGCACAAGATTAGTCTGGAATATTTTCTTGTATCAGAGAATAGAACATGCTCAAAGATGAGGATGAGTCAAAAAGACACAGGCCACCTACAAAGGGCTTCCACTGGCCAAATCTGGAGCAATCTGAATGAAGAGTACTAGCAAGGGATTATAGGCTATAGAATAAAAGAAGTCCCTGAGCCTTGACTGGTGTGGCTCAGTGGACTGAGTGTCTTCCCACAAATTGAAAAGTTGCAGGTTCAATTCCCAGTCAGGGCACATGCCTGGGTTGTGGGACAGGCCCCAGCTGGAGGCGTGCAAGAGGCAACTGATTGATGTTTCTCTTCCTCTCTTACTCCCTCCCTTACTCTCTCTCTAAAAATAAATTTTAAAAAATCTTTAAATAAATAAAAGAGTGAATTTCATAGTATGTGAACTATACCTAAACAAACAAATAAAATGGAAATGAACAAGAAGTTTTTAAAAATTAGAGAGAAATAGTTCTGGGTGTTATGGCTCAGTGGATTGAGTGCCACCCTGCAAACTGGAAGGTCACCAGTTTAATTCCCCATCAGGGCACATGCCTGGGTTGTAGGCCAGGTCCCCAGTTGGGGGCATGCGAGAGGCAGCTGATCAATTTATCTCTCATGCACTCTGATGTGTCTCTCCCTCTCTTTCTTTCTCCCCCCCAACAAAATAAAATCTTAAAAAAATAAAAATTAGAGAAAAATAATATGGGAAAGGTAGATAATGGAGACTTCTCATACACGTAACTGGTGCTGCTGAATAAGAGAATCAAAGGAATAGAACAAAGAAATATTCTAGGATGTGGTTTAAGATAATTTTCCAAAAACAAAAAACTCACTGTGTCCTGAGAAAAACTAATGCAGAATTAGCAACATGAACACATACCTAGAAAAGTTACTAGACTTCCAGGGTTAAGAGAAAAAAATCATTTAGATATATACGGCAAAAAGGTTCAATCACCTGTTGTGGGGTGGAGGGGTAGGCCGCAAGGTAAAGAAGGCTGGCTTCAGATGTCCAGCAGGTACAAAGACAAAAGAACAGTGACTTTGGAGCCCTTTGGGGAAAAAAGGATGTTACTCAGCAATTTTATACTCAGCCAAATTAGACTTTAATCACAATGACAACAGATTAACATGTTTGAGCATACAAGAAAGAACTCAAGGAATGTAACAGTTCTCTTGATCCTGTTGTGAAAAAATTCCCAATGGAAAAAGTTCAACCAATCAAGAGACAGATGAAAAAACTATGGCACAAGGACTAGCAATGAGCATTGAAACTATTTTAAGCAGAGAGCTAAGATTAAAACACCTGTGAACTAT